ACCAATGTTAAATTTCTGCAAGTCGTCCCTACTCCTCCGGATGTGATCAAGGTGACAGCCAGCAGCGCCTCAGACGAGGGAGAAAACCCGTTTGGGTTTGTCTATTTCTTATAAGGTCCATGGCGCGAACACACCAAGATGCTTAATTGGGGAGTCTAGTCATTAAATAAATTGTATAAATGTTGAGAATTTGGACTTAGACTATAAACACCGGCAACCTCCTCCCCCCCCCGAAATAGAAAATAAACTCTCTATACAAGTGTCCAGATAGCGAAATATCCAGCTTTCTGTCGAAAACCGAAATTACCGATATTACAACAGCACCCACATTACAATAACAATAGTTTACTAGTTTATAAAATAATATGATCGGTGATAAAAATATAACAACCTGGCAACTAGGTACCTAATCGCCTTTTATAAATTGCCGTGCCGTACACTTAATATACCAGTTAGTGTGCTCCTGTCTGCCTCGAGTATCGCTGATTACTTGAACGATGAATATCTATCGTATTGTTTAAGGCGTCTTAGGGTAGGTTTCAGTTTTTTATCTTGCTTACATTCTTCTGCATGTTTTGGACAACTGAAAACTATACATCAGCGTAAGTTTTTAATAATACCATGGAATTTAATACTGTGCTATAACTACTATTTCTTTAACTATAGGTACATTAAAAATCAATAACCAGGATGAGTAAGAAGGAAACGAAAGGCATATATATTTAAATATGATTGTAGGCAAATGGTAATAATATTACAACTCACTTATGTAGTAATTCTTGAATACTTTGTAAAGTTTTTTTTTGGGGGGGAGGGAAAAAAACACACTGGTCCGCGAAATTTTTTCGTAAGTTTTACCGGTCAAAAAAGGTTGAGAAGCACTGCTCTATAGAGTTTTGCGTTTTCGTCCATGCAAATCTTGCCCTCCCCTCCAACTCCCGTGAAGAAAATGAAAAGTTGGTGCCTGTGTTCATTCTTACATATGGCAAAATGGCAAATTTTCCCTGATAGAAAGGGCTAATCCCTTCCCCCCTTCCCGTCCTCACAGAAATTTTTCAAGTTAAAAAACCCGTATTTCACTGTATACATTTTAAATAAAAATATAATATAAACGATAAAATAAGGATAAATAGAAATTATATTAAGTAAAATAAAATAAGAACGTACTTCATCAAATGGAGTTTTCTTTTCCAATAGTAGTAAGGTTATTGTGCATCGAAAATTTTCTTCGCCAACCAGTGACTCAGTAAATACGAAAATGGAATATGTAGATGATACATAACACGTGACTTTCTAGGCATATGGAAGATGACCGTTATCTGGTACTAGATGCGCAGAAGGGTCATTGTGAGTAGTGAACAACGTCAGCGTATGTAGTCGGTTTAAGTACGGTATTACCTAGATTTAAACTTGCTCACAGCGTGAATTCCCAACTCGAAATTCTTTGTATGATAATATCCCTGACGATTGACGGATGGGTGACAAGGCATTGATGGATGAACTGGAGAGGAAAGGTGGGGAGGGGCCACACCTTCTGTCATGGAGGTAGGAAAGGGAGGAGGGGCCAACCCGCGCTAAAAGTGAAGCACTGCTTTGAAGCTTGGGTCACCAGATGGGGTGTTCTTTGTTTACATTCAGAAGCTCGCTTGACAAAATTCTGATAGTATTTCGACACACGACAGTTCCATAGAAATCGAAAAAGGGACACTTTCGCATGAAAGAAACATTCATAGTGTGATGAATAATAGCAATTTGTATAGTTTAGTGACATTTACGCAAAAATCACATCTTGGTTATTTTTCGATAACTAACAACAGCGACTTTTTGTTGTTTGACTTCTGAATCAGTAACAACAGCGATTTTGATTATGAATTTCTTTTATAAAATTATAAGCTGTTGCACAACAAAAATATAGATTTTAAGAAAAATGTTATGCTAAAGAAATGAAAAATACCTTACGGTACATTTAAATTGTATATACGTCTTTCGATACCCTGATAGAGTATTCGCGACTTTTATTTTATTTTCCAAACGTCAAAAGTTTTTAAATAAAACAATTTTTTTTTCACATCCATATATTATGTAACATGTACCTTTTAAAATTTGTAAGAGGAGAGGCTTTACGCTGCTCATTTTAAACCATCGTTTTAAATTTTACATATCAGAAAAAATAATCACTTGGGCTTACACGTTTTATAAATATAAAATTATGTATGTTAAAATATTTGTAATTGGGCACATAGGTCAGATTAAGTTTTTATTAAATAGATTAACGCATGCAAGGCTATCTTCCTAAAGAGAGAGATGCCATCGTGGAGGAGTTTTGAAGAAAAACTGACCTTTGAGTGGGTATTAAAAATAATACTTATAATTTTCATTCAAATCATATTCATATATATTTTTTATGTAAAACTTTCGGGTGTATGCTAAATTAGTGTAAATTACTTTACACGAAAAATATAGTGAATGCACAGAAATTAAAGATTTGCACATGCCGGAAATGAAAAATAGGAAATATGTATGGGTATTTATGCATGTGCTTGCAAAAAGCATGTATCTTCCTTTGACAAAATACTTAAATATTCATTAAATTATTTATAAATGTATTTGAAATGAAGAATTTATTCACTTATAAACAACTGTAATAGTACTGTGAAGAAATCTAATTATTAAATGTATCTAATTTATAATGATTATAAATGTTATCTAAATATATAATAACCTTAATATTGAATTGTAAACATAAATTGAAATTTATCCTGTTGATAAATACGTTATAAAACTATTTAAGCAAGAATTGTTCGCATTGGAAAGCAATCTGTTAAAAGGTATTGTAAAGCAAATGCTATGAGATGCGCACTTAAGAACGTAATAAAGAGTTTTGGAATATGTATTGTTGAAATGAAGGGTAAAAAAAAAATCTGATAGTAGATAATTAAAAGAATTATTCCCCTTACATTTTATAATAACTCGGTTACAAGTTTTAAATAATACTTAAAAAAAAAAAAAAAAAAAAAAAACTTATTTTATTCCCTTTCAGAAATGTTCAGAGAAAGTCAAAATACTACTTTAATACCTATTTAATTATTAGGAATTATCGAAATACTTATTTAAAGTATTTCGCTAATTCCTAATAATTCTCTAATTTGAAATGAACCGAATAGAGCATTAATTATAAATTGACTATTACTTTTATTGTAATTAAAAGATGCCTCAGTTAATTACTTTTATTGTAATTAAAAGATGCCTCAGAAGCCAAATAATCATGTCATATTTAAGAAAGTGTTTTAGGAAGAAGCTCTATAAATAGAAAAGAAATAATGCATAATTTTAATATTAATAATACAATAAACTTTGATCTTAATTTTTGTACCTTAACCGAATAAAATCGAATTACCTTAATTTTTTTTTTCTAATGTAATTAACAAAAACTTGTGAAAATATTTCATTCAAATTAAACCATTCTCTGAGAAAACTATCCTGTGAAAAGTATAGCATTTAATTCCGTTCAGAATGAAATGTTGTTTAAAAATATGTTGTTTTCACAAACTTAGGACTCTGAAGTATTGTAGAAAAAGGAAATATATACATTTATATGTATATTTACGACGTAATTACAAAATATTTACATCCGAACGCGTCAAATCCCATAGAACTCAATGTTAAAAGACCCAATGTTTTGGTCACCACGTAGGGATCGCCGGTGCTTCAGAGCAGGGTACGGGAGAAACTTGTTTAGGGCGACTCCATCTTACTTCCTACCTCCATGCCTTCTGTTAGGAAGTGTTGGGAGGGGGCGCGAACTCCCATGGTCCCTGTCCTGTGTAAGCATTCAAGGAAGATTCCCCGATAAATGCACATTCTTTTGCATTAAAAAAAAAAGTGCCCTGTGTCGTTCGCTGGTCGGCGCCCTTCCCTTGGTCGGCGCCCGCTTCCGCCGGCCCTGGAATGATTGAGGGGAAAAGGAAAAGAAAGGAAAAAAAAAAGTTTGAGGAATTATTCGTTACTTGCTAAAAAAAAATCTGCTAACAGAAAATTTCTTAAACCTTTACTAAACATACCGAAATTGGGATAAAAGATGGAATAATTATATAGCATCCAGATTTTCTTAAACTTCAAAGTAAATATGTTCATAATCTACCTAAATGTGTTTGCTGACGTGTGTCTATAGAAACGGACTTTGAAGACTCTGCTCGTGTCGTGAGATTAAAGTATTAAAAATAGTTTTCACATTTAAAAGAAAAAGAATTTTTTGCAGTAACCCACTTTTGAAAATACAATTTTAATTTAATACTAATGTTAAAACGTTTAGATAAATGAAACCTATATCTGTATAGTATGTAATGAAAGGCATTTCTCTTCACATTCGTTAGCATGAAAATAGCGTAAATTACATTTTCTTAAAATTATACAACTGTTTTTAGAATTTTACATTCAGTTTAAGGAATGGAATATTGTTACTTGCTTTCGTACAGAATTTGATTCTCGTTGAACGCAACTCCAGTGTTCTGTAATGGATATTATATACTGTCATGCAGTTAGTAATATACACTTTAAAAAAAAATTCACAAATTCGAAAATGGACTATGACATTGTAGCGGAGTTTTTACCTAAATTTGTATTAAGTACTGTCGCTTGAAAAATTAATATGTAACTAAAATGGGAAATGCCACACAAAATGTAACAAAGCCAGAACACTACTGAAAAACAATTCAGTTTTAGTTGAAGATACATTTCAGTATTCATATGCCAAAAAGAAAATCATATTTATGGCTAAAACAGTCGTTTTCAGTAACTACCATTATAACAAACACCAAAGGGCATTAAAGTAATTGCACGATAGTTTTTCAAAAGTTTTTTTTTAAAATATGAGTTTAAAGGAATTGCACCGTATATTCAAGATATAATTTTAGTATATTTTTATGAAGCATCACTTTTATAGTATTGTGCAATATCTTTTATATTGTTATTAACTTTTATGTATAAGTATTACAACTTACTCTGTATGTTCCTAAATTATCCACAACGCATGGCAAACTAACATCTCGTCCTGCAGAAACCGTAACATTTGGAATCGGCTCTGCAAACTCTGGTTCTGACGTTATTTCTTGAGGAGATGTCGCCACTGAAAAGAAAAATATAAATTATAAAAGAAATATTCCAAAAATTGATATTAATTATTAAATACAAATCTCAGACTCTTAAGATTTCAGTTTTAAGATCAACTGTAAATTATATTACCTTATATCTAAGAGAAGACTGAAAATGATTTTCTCGGGATAAGATTAGTTCAAGGTTGTGCTTTGTTTAAGTCGCAGAGTACAAACTTGTATTTTGAATTACAGAAAGCGCAGTTTTAGTTTAAAATTGATATTTAAAAATAAATAAATAAATAAATAATGATAAAATATTTTTTAATTGAAAGGTTTCAGATATTAACAAGCACCCAAAAGCGTTTGTTAAGGTTTTTATACCCTCTCGTTGAGCTCGCAGTCTGTCGTCTAAGTCTGATGGTACACTCACTCCAACTAACCCATTTTATTTTATTTTTTAGCTTTATTATTAAGCATTGTTTCTTCGCGCTTACGCCGTATACAATTAACTCAATAGCAGAATTACAAATATTTTAAAAACAGCATACGTTTAGAATTCCGATGCAGCGTTAAGTGTTGGAATAAATATTTATCAGTTTTTTTTTTTTTGCAATCATTTGTCAATTCACCATATCAATGTTCAGATTCCTTCGTAAGATGGTTTGCAAAACCTTTTACACCTTTTTGTTGTTAATGTTTTGTTGTTAATGTGGTAGAAACTAGGTTGCAACGTGTCTTTGAAAATACGTTTTTATGATTCCCACCTAGATTTTTTTCCAGATAACTGTGGTGCGGTTAGTGAAGAACAGGATAAGCACTTTTACCAGGGCATTCCAGACATGGAGAAAAGGTATGAGGAAAAATGGAGCCCTTCCATGCTTTCTGGGTATTGCTGGACACTTGTTAGAGATGTAGGGCATTACCAAGTAGCAGCACGAGGACGTATTTAGTGTTAGAGGAGCACTTTCAAATAACGTTTTATAAATAATATTTGCTTAAAAATGTGTTTAAAGAAATTTTTAGAAAAAGGTATCTGACTTTTAAATTTCATTACTGATTTCTTATTTAGTGCCACAATTTCCATATAAAAGTATATTTTATATCAAGAACACTGACAAAAATTCCAAACTTGTTGTCTAATGTAATCAAAGAATTTACGCAAGATAGCCACAAATTTTAAAATTTAACAAATAATGACAATAAATCAATGGATTATAACAGTTAAGTTAGAAAAGATAATACATAAATAAGTATTTTTATTGTTTCTGCTTTCTTTCCTTCTCTTGTGTTTTCATTACAGAATGTGCCTTATAATTTGAAAGTCAGAGTGAATGCGCTTGTTAGAGCTGTGCTCAAGCAGCAACTTTAACTCGAAGTACTATAAATATCTTTTTGTTTAAATCATGATTTAAAGAAGCTATTATATTTTAAAATTATATATATATATATATATTAATCCGCTCACATTTTTGTTCGATTGCTTAAATAGAAAAAAGTAAAAACTGTTCCCGAACCATTGTGATTAAATACTTCTTTACAGGTCACAGAATCCTTTCTCATATATATGAAATTGTTCACCTCGCTCAGCTGTATAACTAAAGACTTCCGGTATAAGTCAAATTCGCGGTAAAATATAGAACACGAGACTGGCTGAGGCACACAAAAGATAACACTCTTGCTCCTATTTGAATTTAATTTCCCAATTTAGTGACGGAAAATTCAAATGATAATTTCAATAAATCGAAAGCTTAAATACTTCAAAAATTTGAATTTGATGATAGATTACGAATAAAATGTTTATTAAGATCTGCGCAAAGCTAATGCATGAAGCAATTCATTTAAGAATATTTCGCAACGAAAGTATTTGTTAGTCTCTGACGCTTGGCACCTGTTATTCTCTAGGGGCAAGTTTGAGAATAGTCGGAAATATCTTGAATTTTTATGAGGCAGGAATTAATTTCCGTCTTTCATATATGAGAAACTTTTGAAGTATATTTGGAAATGGGAAATTATCAGAGACAGGAGAATAGTTTAAAGACTGAACCAGCTTCTAATTAAAACTGCAGTTTAGTCAGAGTAGATTTAGAATATCATCTGTATGTTCATATATTTTTTTAAACTGGGCGGGAATTATGAAATCCACACTACTTTTAAAATGATTTTTAATAATACATTAATATGTATTAAGTATCTGAAAACCTTGCCCCCCCCCTTCAAAGAGATGTACCGCCAACTGGTGCTGGCCAAGCACAGTCACGGGAAATTTAGAGAGAATGATGTCTGTACTTAACTATATTACTTACTTAGTTCAGAAATCTGATTACGCTTTGTAAATAGAAAACTTAATCAAAGTTGAATCAAGTGATGTCAATCAATCTAAGGTTCAATTTTCCGATTTTTAAATATTTATTTAGTGTGGATGTATAATACGACGATGATGGACTTATTTGTAGAGTAAGGTTACTTCATTAAAATAAATGAATAATAAAAAGGACAATTTTAGGTAAACATGCCACAGGCTGTAAAATGTGTTTAGTCTGCTTTTGAAATTTGTTTTTATAGATATGAATTCAGACTTTAATTTGTTTATGTCTGAGAAGATAAGTTATGGATAACAGATGTATTACTTTTTGGATAATAATAGCTTTGAGTCTTGATTTCTTTCAGTTTCTTAAATCTTTTGTAGGCAGTTCTCTGCTTGTAGAACTGGCAGATTGGTATGAAAAACCTTTGATACTTTTGATATGCCTGTTTCAGCAGGAATTAAATCCCGCTATTACAGGCACCTTAAATAACCCTGGTTAGAGAAGACATAACATACAGTGCTTCGCAGGAATACCTTGACAAGGGACTGCAGGAAGATTGTGTATATGTGGCCCAGGTCAGTGTAAATGAAAACATCAAACAATGAAAAATCTGTGCACCCGTTTTTCTTTTATATGCAAGTGTCAGTTATATAGCCAATATATATACACTTATTTAGAAGTTTATTCTTCTTCTCCCCTCCCCCCCTTTCCTTGTTTAGAATCCCATTCGCCTTTTCCTCTCCCCATTTGACACCTTATTCGAACATTCATGGGGAAAAGCTTTTAATATCACTCACACTTTTCATTCCCCGTGAATGTGCTTAAGATTCCCGCGCATAGAATTAACTTCACTTAATTTTATATTAATACGATTTTATGTTTAAATGCAACGACTGGAATGTATAACTATAGGGTTCCAAACGAAAAGAGCACAGAGTCAATTACAGACTCTCAATTAACATTTTTACCCCCTTGATTTCTCTGAAGTAGCCGTGTGTCCACGGTTTAGTTTCAGCTAACATTCATCTATCGAACCTTATGAGACTTCTTGGGATGTCAAACTCTAGCTGGTTAGTATAATAAAACAATACTTGTTCGATACTGTAGTGAAGTGTCTGGTGTTCCATGCACTTTTACCTGTTTATCTCTTTAAGATTCACCTGAAGTGATGAATGATAAACAAATGAGTTTTATTTTGAATTAAAAAAAATTTCAACTAGAAAATTGTATCGTTAAAAAAACGCACTGTCGTTTATGCAAAATATTTTCCATTAATAGTTAAAGCCCAACGTTTAAAATACTGTTTCCATGTAGGGTGCTTAAGTCTCTTTAAAAAAATCACATATATTTAAATGAAGACATACAGAATACAGACGCAGTTCTAGGCTGAACTATTGGTAGAAAAGTTAATAAAACTGCAATCAAACGCAATGGACTATTTACCATTTTTAGATTAAAAGCAGTTCTAGAAATGTCCACAGATCTCTATCATGAAAACAATGCATGTTGTTGTTGTTAACATTCCCTTTTATCTGACAAAGGTTAGCCCAATCGCATGTCATACTCCGTGCCAAGGGGTCATGTACGCCTGCCATTGGCAAAAGACTTAAGTAATATATAAGTGACAACTCGGATTTAGCTCAGTTCTGCCCCCAATATTTAGACAGATCACGAGGGTCTGAGGATCACCGACTGCTCTTCCTCTGCCATCAACCTCTCGAGAGGAGTTTTGGCTCGCTGTATTTGGAGTTCCCACTTTGCCACACAAACACTACATATTTAGAAAATCTATGGCTTCTCCTGGATTCGAACCCGGGGTCTTCGTAACGTTAGTCAAAGTCACTAACCACTATCCCGGTTGGGCAATATATGAAGTGTTAATGTGCATTATAGAAAGGTTTATCTGCACCATTTTTTTTTCTGGCAAAGATATAAAAAGTACCTTCATTGTGGAGGAATAAAAAAGAAAATAACAGTTAGGGTGTGATTTTATAACAAAAACAAATAATCAACTAAAGAGAACTGTGAATTTTTTCCAATTGGTTACATGATTTTTTAAACTATTTTTTATACTTAATTACAGTACTTGGGCGCACTTGGAGTGCTATAGGAAGAGTGTGAATTATTTAAATCTTTTTAACTATAGCGTACCGGCTTTATTGCGCGGTATCGACTAGAGAGAAACATTTTCATTTCAAGTACTGAGAAATGTTTATTCCTCCATGGAAATTGTGCATTACTGCTTACTAAGAGAAATCGTTGGCAACAGCTCCTCTAAAGTGATTTTAGTATGGGTTCAAAATCTCATTTCTATATTGCTATGTATTTATTGAACCACTTTAAAAGATACGGAAGTTCTTTCTGCTCTATGGCATATGTCATCAAATTATCATTTCTATAATTTAAATAAACTTGTTCCTAAAATGCTGTTAGGATATACATTCTCTTTGTCTTTCTGTAAAAAAGTGTATATCCGCAACTTTTATCTATTCAATATCTGGATGAACATCCCTAAAAAGAAATCAATTACTTTCTGTGCAGTTTTATAATACATTATACAAAACGCAGGCAATTAAGTTTAAAGAGAGAAAAAGGAGCACAGGCTATGTATATATTATTTTACACAGGGGCTTCTTCTGTGTAGCCTTAAGCTCCTTTCACAAGGCGGTTTTAAAATTATAAGTGGTGTAAGCCCAGCTCCATTGCTAGGCCACCAGACCATGCTACGTTAG